GGAGACAACACTGGACTCAACTTGAAGGGCGTCAAAGGTGATGTTCACTGTCTGCATGAAGTCGTAGACAACGATGACAACCAGCCACCATTCCTTCGGCGGGGCCGATACGTATCGCTTCTCTTCGAAGAAGCCGCACACCGTGGATCAGTTGGTGAGCAGCCACTTCAGCACCTACAGAAAGCAACATATAGTTGATTACTTAGCCAACCAGACAGCAAAACACACAAGCAGTAACAAACACACCTTCGACACGGACGTAGTAGTGTAGTAAGGACACTTGATGTAGTAAGGACACTTGCTCCCCATTCGGCGAACTAAAGTCTCTTGTCGCCGCAGCCAGCCAATGATTGTGGTCAAAATGCTCATGAACGGGAAACCACCAGTGTCAGTGATCGCATGCAACGCGGCCTTGATGATGAGATCCAGCTGATGGGCCAGGCATCATACTCAGTAGAATGCCGGTCCGCTGACAACAGTGGCGAGCTGCGATGTGAATCCAACATTGCAGCCCATCATGTTTGGCGCTCCATCGGTGGACGAACCAATGAGCTTATCCTTCCACATTGGACAGAGAGCATCAAACACCTTGACGAAGAAGTTGAACAAAGACTCTCCAGTGTGCGACTCTTCAAACAAGGGTATCGCCAACAAGTGGAACGATAGAAGATCGTCGCCGACCTTGAGACCCGGAAATCGAATCCGCACGTCCAGGTGAGAGTTCCCGAAGTCATCAGTCGATACATCACTCGCCACCGCGAATGCCCACGACTTCAACATCACGTCCGCAATAATTTGTAGGCCAATGGCACATACAATTCGGGAAAAGCATGAAGCCTCTCCATCCGAAAGGCAGCCAGTCTTCGACGCACAGCCAAGCCGGTCGCGGTTCTCGAGTATTACTTGCGAGATCTGCCGGAACGAGAGCCCGGCGGCGAGCAGGGACACGACATAGTCGAACTGCAGCGGATTGACGATCGTGACCTTGTAGCAAGACACGACCTTGGAACCATCGTCTTCGATCATGTACTGAGGCTCAAAAACATCCATGTCACGATCGTCACGAAGTTCCTCGCCGCCGTTGTCGTCCCGCGGTGCGGCCGGCATCAACAGCTCCAGGATGATGACGTCAACGATGCTCTTATCGATTGTGAAGATGCTATTGCGGCCAACAACCGTGCTGCGCTTCTCGAAGAAAGCATCAACCGTCGATTGCTCGAAGAAACCCTTGAGAACCTCCGGCGTGGAACTGACCAGCTTTCGCAGCGCTTCGTACTCTTCGAACTTCTTAGGGTGTTGCTCCTGCATGTGCTTGCGGATGTTGTCGCTGCGAAACACGTCCTTCCAATGCTTGTTATTGGTCGTTCTCTTCCGCTTGCGTCCATCGGCGACTTCGTCGTCTGCGACCTCACGGTCCCAGCACTCGCAAAAGCGACAAACAACGGCTTGAACAACGCCCTTGTTCTCATCGCGGGCTAAATCAAGCTACATCTCAAATACCGTCGAGATAATCTGGGTGCCAAGTTGATCCAATCCAAAATCCAATTCAAATGTCTGTGAGTGCAAACGAATGACAAGGATAAGAGTTTGAAATTACCTTGCTTGCCGGAGGCTGCTTGAAATTCCGATTGCATCTCATGTTTCAGTGAAATCAAATTTCTTGTCTTTTTGTCAGTCCATGAAACCTTGCTGTATAAATCGTCATCGTCATCCTCGTCCAAAGCCACCACCTGCTTCGCCTTCTTCTTATTGTCTCTCATCATTTTGGGAGTATTTTGCTTCTTTCCTCTTTGTGAACCTCCCGTATTTTCGTATCGCCTTTCCAAAGTAAGTGCTTGCTCCTCCAGGTTTTCTTCCTCCGAAACTCTTTCACGAATCTGAATTCTCATGTCATATTTCGTTGATTGTTGTACATTATTGCAATGTGGTTCCTGAAATGGAGCTTTTACGGGTAAAAGAAGATTTAACGTAACTCTCGTTTCCAAGGCAGGAATACACCTAACCGCTGGCTGACTCCACCAGAAATTGAACGATACATTCTCACTCCTTGTCCCTGTACGAGGTTGCTGTGAAGATTGCCCATACTGTAAGCTTCAAAATTGAATTTCAGAGTCTAAATCTTTAGACTGAGAATCAAGCAAACTGTCAATTTCAGCTAGATTGCTTGATCTATCCATCTGATCATTCAGAGGCATTGATCTCATAGACAAAAAATTATCCATGATGTCTTTCTTGAAAGATTAATCTGATTGCTGATTGCTCAAAGACTCCTTTCGACACCCATTCGACTTCTGCGCACGGAAGTACTTCTCCATTTTTTTCCACCTGCATCAATTCTCTCAACAAAAAATTTCCCTACTTCTACCTACGCCAAGAGTATTTCCGCCCATTTGCTCGAGCAAGATAACATATCATATTACAATTCTAACCTTCACGTCAACGAAAAAACCACAAAAATTTTATGAGTCACATGGTATTTCGTCCCAAATTGCTAGGATATCTCAAGATGTGCTCTTGGAATATGGCCCTTGGATTGCATTTATTACTCTCCACGTAGATGCCAACTCAGCGCCAAGTCATCAAGCTAGGATATATCAAGATGTGCTCTTGGAATATGGCCCCTGGATTGCATTTATTACCCTCCACGTAGATGCCAACTCAGCGCCAAGTCATCAAGCGTTTAAAATGAGACTTCACTGTAGTACTTGGTCTTCCGACATTTTGTAAAGCTAGAGAGTACCCATTTGAAAATCGTACGGTTCTACTTCATGCAGAAGTGAAATTTCACTAACAGTACTTGATCCCCGCTTTTGTAAAGACCTACTTATTCCAACACTAACTTTTCCCAAAAAGACATCAGTCCATCTGACAATATGTATTATTAGATCGAGCATTCATTCATAATATTCATACTTCCTTCATATTTTTCCATAAAGAGATTAGTCTTCACAACATCAAAAATCTCATATGTTCACTTGCACTTTTAAGGTTGTGCTTGGCCTTAGGCAATTAACAAGATCCGCTGTAAAAAGTTCCAATAGCGTCATCACATTTGGTAAAACTTTAAGGAGCTTGATTCTGGAGACAAAAAATCATCGTCATTATTATGAGAAATTTGCTTGATGGGATCCCATCAGAACGCTGGCTGACTGCTTGATGGGATCCCATCAGAACGCTGGCTGACTGCTTGATGGGATCCCTTTGACGGTTCACCTTCAGTTATGTTCTTGTAACTACTTTGCTTCCATTTCAATGAAAAAGAAAAAATTCTTCCCGAATTTAAGTCAGTTAGATTTCCCATGGCTCCCAATCTTCATGTGTAAGAGCCCAATTTCTCCGGTTCCAAAATGATTTTACAGTTATAATGTATTGACGTAATCTACTTATTCCTTACTTTTTTTTCTAAAACTGTTGGCCAAAGTCACAGGAGTTACTTATTTTGGACAGTGCCCGGGGAGAAGTCACTTTTCAACAAAGAGCCTAACTGCTTTTCCTAACCCGGAGGAATTACAATAACTCACAGTAGAACATAGGTGACGGTGGACTAAACTGCCGTCTTAAGGTACCATTTGGTAAAATGGAAAGTATTGGGTACCATCAAACAATCAAGGTTCCTATGGGGTCCCATCAAGAACGTTGAGTTGAGTCCCATCCCGACCAATGAGTTATGCTGATCAAAATTGCGTGATTCTCTTGCACTTGGACAAGCATCAGCGGCAACTGGAGGAGTACTAACGAAGTTGAAGCGGAATGCAAATGTACCCTTGTCCAAGAACAGCAGCGTCCAATAGCATCTGCCTTGGAGTGACCAAGTGGTCTTGCCCGATCACCTTGTTGATTGTCGCCGATATCATCCTCTCGACCGCAGGAGCCAAAACCCTCGCTCTTGGTGTTTTGAGTTTATGACATCCTAAACCCCACACCACTCTCGCTCTAATACCAATTGAAAATTTGAACATTGACGAGAACACACCAAACGCAGCAGCAGACATTTGACACAACAAAACACACACATGTAGACTCGACACTTGGACCGTGTCCACATGTGCATCTAAAAAAACGTCACTTTCGTGAGTTATTTGACGTAGTTAGTGTGTAACTAATCTAACTTATTGTAGTTAACGTAATCGAATTACCAAAAAAACCTCCTTTAATTCCTAACACACGATTCATAGTGACTATAGCAATGTGTTCGAAAATTGTTCTCTCTTAAAGTAGGGTAACATAGTTCTTATGAAATATCGGAAGTCATCAAATCACTTATCATGACATGATATTGAATGTGGCTATAAAGGTTCTATGGTGTCACGTTATATTAGAGGATAGGAAAAGACATATATACATATACAATTCCGCTGCTCAGTTTCTAATTTTGTAAATACTAGAGCGAAACTTTAGATGACCGAATGCTAAAACCATGTTGCTGAAGTATTACTGCAATAATCGTGAGAACATCTTTAGAGGATTGCTTGGTGAACGCATCAGTAGCAACGAGAAGAATCTCCCCACTTGCTGCGCGATGCATCGCGGTCCACACCACTCAAACTCTGAAACGTGAGATTGAGCGCCGCTTCTTTATAGGCCGTCAAATATCAGGGCAACCAGTGCACTCACATATCTGCAGTATTTTCAGATTTTATTGCAGTATCGAACACTGGAATTGCGAAACTGTCGTGGGTGGCATCATCCGAATAAGTCAGAAAAACCGAAAGCGTTACGTACAGGCAAGTCCGAATCTCCCGGGCACTTATTTTCGCAATTCGGTGGAAGAGAAGTGGTGCATGCGCGCTTGTAAAAATGTAGTTCGTAAAACTGCCGTAGGATTTGGAGAAATCTCGAAATTATGCAAAGAGGGAAATAAAACTTTCGAGAAGCTGGAACTTGAAAAGACTTCTGCTTGCTCGTCTGCCGCGCAGTGTCTTGAAGACAACTCGAGAATCTAAATTCGTAAAAGCCATCCCGTATTCTTGCTTGCCTGCTTCATTAGGGACTTAGCGTACTTTCATTATCATGGAAATCTACAGTTTTCGCTCGGAATATCAGGAGCCTGCTTCAAACAGTCTTCTGGCTGTCTGGCTTTTGGCTGCCACACTGTGGCAGCCAAAAGTGTGGCAGCCACACTGAAAAAGATTGTGCAATGACTCCAGAAGGATTTCAAGTTCGAGGGATGGACTGTAATCTGGCGAGTCAGCTGCATTTACAAGTAGACAGAGGTGGAGATTTTGTCGAGGCTTGGTTATGTTCAGCGAGCTCTACGTGGAGGAAAATTTCCAGCTAACATGACTTCGACAGTACTTTGTCCATTTGATGTAGAGATGAGGCTTCAGCAGGAATCAGGACCACAGGGACTGAGTTACCAAGACTTCACGACGTCTGAATTAGGAGCCTTATCTCGGGCCCTGGTAGCTGGTTCTCCGAGGGAGCCAGCAGTAAAAGATTTGAAAGATTCTCACTTTCCTCTTGGAGCTGTTGGATCCGCAGCTGGAGAGAGTGACTTTAGCAAGAGGTCGAGATCTAGGACTGTGGAATGGAGCCCAGTAGAAGTTTCAACTCTCATCGAGGCTTACATATCAATATACGTCGTGAAACGCTTCTTGACGTCTAAGGATTGGGCGGAGGTTACAAGGATGGTCAACTCCAGAGTGCTGAATGGCAACAGATGCCCCGATCAATGTCGTGACAAGATTGATAACTTGAAAACAAAATCAAGCAGGAGCGCAGTTATAAAAAGTCAATCAACATGGCAATGGTTTCGTATCTTTGACGCCATTAATAATGTTGGTCGAGATCCAAGCTCTCAAAGCTGGGCCATTTTACATATGAACGCTTGTGACTCAGACTTAATACCTCTGCTGCATGCACTACCAGTCCGGAGTCCTTGACTATCTTCGCAGGCTCTTTCAGTGGCATTACCACAGGCTATGGCTCCCAGTCTGATGGCAATAATCTCAACCGAGTTCGTGATTCGAAAACAGTTGACATTAGACCGATCTTGGGTGAGCTGAATGGACATATGACCAGAGCACATTCAATGAAACACAGAATTTCAGAAAAGAACATGAACACCGAGTCTGCAGAGCTCACGCGGTGTAAAAGACCAGCTAGCAAGAAATGCAAAACCTTTTGCAGCTGTCAAGCGAGGAAGCAAGTAGCCTAAAGTATTGGAAAATTTGCAGATGTCTTCGCGAAAGTGGAAATGTACAAGGACATCGAGGTCATGCGGCAGGTGATGCAGTTTAAGCTCACCACGATCCTCCAGGAAAATTCGAACAGAAAACCACAACGAACCTCTACTACAGATCATTTTGCAGGAACTGACAGTGTGCGCACGTGTCATGTAACTCTACGCCTCACCTGCTGAGAGGTGCAACACCAGCGAGTAACTGCATTCTATGATCACCGAGACTTATGTGAGTCACTCACTATAAATGGAAAAAAGACTGGAACAGGCGTCGACAGTGGCTCCGCGATGGTTTGCCTTTTCACGTTTTGAATGTGGGTACCGTGACCAAGTTACCCATCCTACAGCTTGACTGATTGGAAGGCTGAAGAGGTCGCATCCGGAAAGAGAGATCTGCCATAGATTTGATTTGGCATGCAAAAGGATGATGCACGTTGAGCTTTGGTTGAAGCTTGGCAAGATCTGATTGAAGGAGACATAAGATAACAGTTTTTCACTACAAAGCTCACATTGTTATTGTGTGCAATCAATCACCCACATTAATTAATTGGTTTTTCTATGGTGATATTGATCTGAAATGACACCCGAATATATGCACTGTCAGCAAGCAATGTTCAAATTATCACACTTAAGCTTCTTGTTATGTGAATCACGATCACCCAATTAAATCTTCTACACAAAAATACGATATATAAACCTGAAATTCAGTCATTTGCAAGCACTCGGGCGGACGTCGGTTTCACCGAAGTCGAACGATTCGTTCAAAACATCTTCGTTTCGAGAGATATCAAGACCTTCCACATCCTCCAGATTCTGAATTTGATGGCCTCTCACTTCAATGCACCAAACCTTCTCGAACAGTCAGTCTATCTCCAGAAGTTGGTTCTATATTTCATGTCGTTCTTTCATAGTTTTCATCCATGATCTCAAGAGGATTTGAACAAGAGGTGGTCATTTGCTCATGAACAATTATTTAAAGACAAACCCGGTCTCAACGGATGGCTCACTGATATCTTGACAGAGCATATTGCTGGTACACCTGCAACCTGACGGCAACTAATATTCGTTTTGAGGTCTTACTGCATGTGAATAAAAAAAAATAGATACGTTTCGTGATAATTTGTTACTTGTTTGCGTATTTCGCGGGACGTGCTTCTTAAAGCAAGGGAGAATAATTTAAAAGATACATTTCACGATAAAGAACAACAAAGTTGTTTTTTTGGATGTATAATCTTTTTGTCATAAGTCGCCATAGCGAAATTCCATGGTGTGATAACTCGTTTGGAAAGTGAATGTCACAAGAAGACCGACAAAGTGGTGATTTAGTTGTTTACAATACTTCTGGATATGCATGTATTCTTGTATGTTCGCTATGCCAGACAATTTGACAATCACCTGGCTCCTGTGAAGATCATACCGGTAGTCTATTCAGCAAGAATAAGCACATCTCTTCGCGAAGGCAACATCGACATTAATATTCTGAAACTGATGGACATATAAGGACAAGAAATGTGTAAAAAGAGAACGTCACTATGGCAAGATTGCAAGAAAGAAGTAACGAAATGAGGGCACGATCATTTGTAAGTCTCTAAGACAGGACACAGCACTGTAAGAAGAGCGGGGCGGGTCGTCCAGTTCTGAATAAAAACAAAGGTCCCAGAGCTGTAGCCTACAGGTAAGTTGGATGGCATATTGGGGCGCAGCGAGTACATCTTCTCCAGCTTCTTCTTCGTCCCGCTATGGCTCTGCATTGAATAGAGAGAGAAAATCATCAGGGAGGATCTTAGACCTGCGTCGTTTGTGGGCTGTCACGGGAGCCGCTGGATTTGCAGTGATCCCTCAGACAAGATTTACATGCACATCGGGAACTTCGGATACCGTATAGGACAGGAGGTGTCAACGACCTACTGCATGAGCTACTGCAGGCTCTGATTCCAACTGGACAAGGTGCACCCAGTGCCGCAACGAAGCTCTTGTACTGCGTCCTTGATCTCATTCGTTCAGTGAGCGAGCAATCAATCGCAGACTATAAACAACTGGACCATTGTAGACGAATCCGGAGCCTGTTCATGCGATCTGAATGTCAAAGGCGGGTGCTGGAAATAGATTCAGTACAGTACAGGAAGACATGTGCAAGTTGTAGTACGCACGCAGAATTTAGAGCTCGCTCGTGCAGGCTGGTTGTGATAAAATCCAAAGCTTCTACTTTCTTGGTATCTCAGACTACTTTTATAACTGGTAATCGACCATCGAGACTGTCATTCATCACGCCTTCTCAGGTGATATCAGATTTCTGACTGGATCTACGAGAAAACCGACATAACAACATTATGAACGCGTGAGACCACCGACGGACAAGTCGGTGATTGTCTCAGATATTATCAGATATATATGTATATGTACACTTTTTTTATATTCTTTTGTTGGGATATTATGAGATGTCTCTTTAGTAAGTGGTTGATTGCATCAGAACAACGTGACTACCGGCCCATGGACCTCGAAAGGCGAAGTCCCACAGAACAAGAATAACTACTTGTAGATTCGGTGGCGTTGCGTCTGGCAATGCAAGAGCTGGCTGCTGACTTTCAGAAGACTGTGTTGCAGGTTCGATGATTCCATGCCACCGATATCGTCGTACATTTCTGGAACCGAAATTTCAAAGAACTGAAGTATTGGAGAGCTGAAGTCATTCTCGGTGTTTCGTACAGGCTCGACTCAGCACCTCTGCGATGTCCATGGTTGGCGAGACAGTCCGAGGTTCCAGGACTGACAATTCGTATCTCGATGGGGCCAATATACTTCCCACGTCGATACTTCCGATATACCTCGCTCAACTTGAACTCGACAAATTCATCACAAAGCACTGCTCCAACACTGCTTCATGCTGCTAACTGAAATCCTCTGTGCTGGTGCTATTAAGTAGTCTCACTACGCTAAATGGATTTACTCAAAATTCCTTTGCGACGCAAGAACCCTTGGCTGCTTGGCCAGTTGTAGGATTTTGGTTTACTGCTTTAGGTTTCAGCACTATGGATTTCAACTTGAATGGTTTTAACTTTACTCAATCTCGGTGTCGAGTTGTGAATACTATCCACCTTTACAATGTCTCCTCCGGTATATGCATAAGCCTGTAGGCCAGTATGTAGAGGACTGAGATGATCAGTTCATAAAAGAAACCGAAGACATATGCAGACACATGTACCACTTCAATCGAGGGAGATAAAATCCCGAAGGCTACGGGAAAACACAGATCTCAAAAACTTACTTGGTACGCCTCGCGATGTTGTTTATTGGCTCTCGATCTGAGATCCCCAACACCCCCATCATACACAGTCACACATGCGCCGTTTGACCATATAATTCATCACACGGTCTAGACATACTTCTAATCACTTTCGGCAGTCTCCATCAAATGCAAAGCTGGGAATGAGAAACAACCGTCCGCAGAAATAGGAGGAAGAATGAATGCACCAGAAAGTGCAATGACAGCCTGGATTTGGGGGAGATCTAGAAACTCTTCAGATATTGAATCAGATTTTTTGTTTTGTGGAAGCAAATGCGTTATAGAAAATGGTCGGATCATGGTGGACGTGACGTTTTCAGGCGGCGTCAAAGGCGAGGAGTTGATGCCAAGTTGGCTTTGTGCACGCATAGAGCTGAGTGCAATTGACGGGCAGATCGCCAGTCTAATCTTGAGGGTCGGGAGTTAGATACTGCTGGATCCGCTGACGCCACAGTCGTGAAATTTGGGATTGGGCCAAATTGGGAAAGATTGCTCCAATCTGCTACATCTCATCGCGTTGGAGCAGGGCGCATAACAGATGAGTGCAGTCACATTGGAAGCCAGGGGTTGTGAGTCTGTACGAGGAATTTGACGGGCTCTGCAAGAGGGAGCTGCTCCTCATTCTTCTGCTTGTTGCAGAGGTCAGGATGGTGCCACTGGGTGATTACTTGCTCTTAACTCTGCTGCTGCAGAAAAGGAGGCCAATCATTGCCATTCTCCAACCTGGCCGTGCTCTGCACAGCCCGTTCGGCAAACGCAAACATCTTCATCCACGAGGTTGAAAGAAAGCACAACGGTGTGCATCACTTCAAGGTTCAAATTAATTATGTCAGAAACAAAATTCCTGTAATATTCGCTATGATCTCTGTGAAGGCACATGGAGATCTGACGAGCCTTCCCTATCAGAGCTAAGCAGTTTTCTCGAGGAAGTAATCAGATACAACGTGGATCGCGGTCGTCTCCAAATATGACGTATCGAAAATGAAAATAGTCAAATTTGGTCGACTTGAAGTCTAGAAATGACCATTTGATCATCGAAGGAAATGCGAGAAACAGAAGATGATCGATTGATGCCCTTAGATACCTGATTATTCCTCTCATTTTGCTGTCTTCATCCGTTTTTTGGTCTAGCTTCGAATTTGCAGCTAAAGTTCCAGCTCTGAGTGCAACAACAAGAAGATCGATAGTGGCATTATATCCACAAGATGTAAGAGGAATGTTCCACGTCGATGTTAGTCAATTTCTGTTCGCAACGAGGTGAAAGGTACAGAACTATGTTCCTGCTTGCTGCAAGAACGAGGGCAGAGGGATTTCAGCTCATGAGTTAGAATTTCCTGTACAGGATTTGTACCCAAGAGAAGAAATTTTTTTCTCCCTCAATGAAAAACGATACGAACGGTCATAAGTAGTCATAGTCGGACACAGGTATGCGCCCTCGAAGTGTTGCCACATCAGTCACTGATGTGGCACTGATGATGGAGCCACTGATGATCAGTGGCTCCATCCAGTCCGTGCTGAAGGAAGTACTCGTAGTTCGCATCCCTCGTTCTCACCTGGCCCTGCTGATATCTCGAAGTCGTTGATCAGTTTTGCCTCTGCCTGAAAGTCTCCCGTTTCTGTTCCTCGACCTCAGGCAGATTTTCAGCGTCTCAGTTGCTATCATTACCAATGGAGGTCGTGCTTTTCCTACTGTCTATTTCTCCCTTCTCATGTCAATCACGTTTAGAATAAACTGGTGTACCATGCGCACCTCAGCACTTCTGCGTCCTCTGATCCACATTAATACAAAATTCTCACTACAAATAGTCTCATTTATCGAGCGCGTTATATGTGTACATATGCTGCGTAGACAGAGGAAAAAATAAAAAGGTCCGGCCCATAACATTGAAGTCTGATCCTTTTCATCTTATAATCTTCTAATAACATTTTACCTGACAAATGAACTTTGTATAAAATACCAATTTGTTAGTCCATCTGCCTATTGCATCGAGAGTTTCATTTCTTCCCTTTCTTTCTGAATCTCATCTAATTCAATCAAAATGTACACTTAAATATATGAGATATAAGCTTTCTCCTTATTTCAAAAATATGAATCTACATGATTTCTTCTTTTAAGAAAAAAATTTGTATGTGTATATCTTATCATTATATAGGATTTTACAAGACCATATATTTCATGTTATATTAAACATAATTTTTCTTACCATATCTTTTTCTTAAGAGCTAAACATCAAAATAGCTAGCATCAT